CAGGTCTCGCTGTATGGCGGCACAGCCTTCTGGCGTGTCAGCCACTCCTCCCAGTTTTGTCATCAGCAAACTCGCTGATGGTACACTCTATCCCTTCATCCAGATCATTGATGAATATGTTGAACAAGACTGGGCCCAGTACTGACCCCTGAGGGACACCACTTGTTACTAACCTCCAACTAGACGGGCTTGTCAACCTTGGAGCAGAAGGGACTTCAGCGCTGGTCGATGGTGCTGCTCCCCGCTAAGTGGTGGGGTGTTATTGGGATGGTTTGGGGTGAATTCAGGGGGGTTTGTGGGAGCAGTGGTGGTTTCTGAAGGGTTCCTAGCTGAAGGAGGTGTTGAACAAGGACTTGACTGCAGAACATGCATCGGTCAAGTGGGACAAGCCACTACGGCAAAAAGCAGCCAAGGCTTTGTGATGGTTTAGCTGGTCTTTGTGTCCAGGGTGTGCAAGCAGAGCCGTGGCATAAATGGGCTCCTCGCTGCTAATTTGGGAAAAGAGAAGTTAAGGCTTCTGAAACAATTTTTCCATGGACTTACGACATCCTCGCTTGGGTCAGCCGCCGTTCCTGTGATGAAACGTGATCCCCGTGTAGCTGCGCTAGTCAGAGCAGAAAGGAAAGGTTTGCTTTTCCTTTTACAGTGAGAAACCGCCCAGTAATGCTCTGACTTTCATATTTTTTGAACCCAGAAAGATACGGTGTCATATTTCCTGATTTTCAAACTCCTCCTAGCTCCCCATCTGGTCCCTGCCTGCCATCCCAGAGGCTGGGCGCTTCCCCTGCGGAGTCCGTAAGAATTGCGGTGTAACTCCATCCACTCGCTCTCGCCGGCTTAATTTCTAATGCGGAGCATCGGTTTTCTGTAGGTTGGAGCAGTGTTTCAGTAGCATTTAAATCCCTACTCTTTTTTTTTTTTTTCTTTTCTTTTTTTTTTCCCCCTGTACTAAAGGTACTTGACTGAAGGCCTAAGCCGCGCTGTAAATGTAAACACCACACATCAGGGTAAATGAAGCTGCGTGAGAGCAGGGAACAAAGGCTGCGGATTAAAAGCTGTTTACCGAGCGGGTCCAATATGGATCTTTTTATGCAAACCCTTTACAGCCGCTCCAGTGAGTTGGAAAAAGGAGAACAGCAGCATGCGTGTGCCTGGCGTGTACATCTGCAAACGTTTTAGAGAAGTTTCGAGTGGCAAAGAACAGAAGCGAGACCCGGAGGTGTAGAAGCAAGGGCTGGAAAGTAAGAGTAAAATGCAAATGATTGTGGACCTTGTTTGGGGCGGAGGGTAAGATAAGAGTAAAATGAGAGGCTCAAAATGAGAGAGGGCCTTGAAAAAGCCTTCTGCTGCGTGGGAGGATGTGGTACAGGTATCTCAGAATAGACCAGGGCAGTGTTGATGAATTTATTTTTTATTTTTTTTCTGAGCAATTGAGAGGAAACCGTGCCTGACGTTGGCCATCTCATCGGCCAGCAGCTGCCACCCCAGCAGGATCTCCAGCAAACCATTATGGAGCTGGAGGGCAGACGTTTTTAAAGGACTGTTTAATGAGGTACCTTGTCTGGATGGCTCTGGCAGGAGCAGAGAGCGAGTCTGGGAGAGGATCTGGAACATCAGGAAAAACTCCTTTAGGAATAATGTCCCAGAGGAGGTGACTTACTGCTCGGCTGTGCCCTCATAGCTGGGACTGCCATTCGCGTCTGCTGCAGGAGCCAATTTGGGGTTGTGTGTTGGTAAAGAGAGAAGTTTGGAGGATGTGGGTCACTGTTTCCTACCTCTGCTCGTCCTTTAGAAGGAACACTGCGAGTAACCTCTGCGAGCGTGGATTGCTGCTCGTTTAAACCCCACTGAAGTGTTGGGGGAGGTGGGAAGGAGTTAGCCGAATATGGTTTGAATTAGTGTTGTATAACCAACTTGGCTATGTTGTCATGGCATAATTGTATCTGATATTGTTTTGTCAGTCAAATGACAGGTAGTACAAGTTCAGCACTGCCTGCTGCAGCAGCAGATTATTTTAAGATAATCTAAGGCGGAAATGACAGCAAATACGACGACGAGAAACGAAAGGCAGAGAGGTTATGTTCAAGAGTCTCTTCTAAATTCCCCTCTGTTGGGACTTGGGGCTGAACACCGCTGTTTGGGGACACCAAAGCTTTTGGGGAATACAGGGAATGTGGAGGATGGCTGTGGAAAATAAAAATGAGGTTTAGTGTTCCTCCTGGGGTGGAAGTGCTGAATCTATAGAGCATTAATGTTTTCCCATCTGACCACAAGCACTGCCGTGCTGCGCGCCCGAGAA